TGTGTGTGTGTGTGTGTGTGTGTGTGTGTGTGTGTGTGTGTGTACAGTGCCCTGAGACAGCAGTTGTTGTGACTTTGCGCTATATAAAGTGAATTGAATTGGAGATTTGTTGGAAGCATCTCAGAGACATTTTGGAGACTCGCTGAAGGTATTTTAGAGACTTTTTGGAGACTCTTTGGAAACATCTTGGAGCCTTTTTAGAGACTGGTGACTCCTTATAGACCCATTTTAGAGACTTTTTGGCGACTCCTTGGAAACATCTAGGAGACTCCTTTGAGGCATCTTAGAGACGTTTTGGAGACTCTTTGAATGCAGTTTCAGGTGATGGCCCTGAGGCTTTGGAAAACTCAATCCATAGACTTGTAACAAACATCTACCAATAAATACATTTATAATCAGACAGGCTTTTAGCTAATTCTGTTTTCTRCTTCTTTGTGAAAGCTGCTGTATAAATAAAGCTTACTTAATTAATTACTTATTTCCGAAACACATTAGAAACTGTGTGTATGTATGAGTGTGTGTTTGTGGCAGCTTGGCAGCGTTGGGTGATGTCTGAGTGAAGTAAAGTGACGGAACGACTCCTGGGTCGGAGGGGAAATATCAGCGCTGCTGAACCGTATTGGGAGGAATTTAGCTCCGGCACAGAGGCAGCAGCAGTGGCAACGCTGACTCAAAAACCTATGATGAACGGGGTGGGTTGGTGTGTCAGCAGGACTAATACAAACATCCGTCACCGGCCCATTCGTCCACTCCACTTGCTGCTAGACAGAGTCATTGGAGGAGGGCAGTAGATCAAGGCTGAAGGCCATTTTTTCTGCTCGATTGGGAAAAAAAAAATGTCTGAATGGAAATCTGAGGAAATTCTTCTTGGAAATAAAAACTGACAAAAGCAGAGTCATGGATGAAARGACACTCCTCAAAAAGTTCCATGAAATGAGACAAAAAGACCTTATCTTTCTTTRAATGTTGGATTGAAAGCTCCTGATTGAACAGCTGAGGCAGGTGGGTAAACTCTCAGACAGTAACTCACACCTTCATCACCACTCAGCTGGATTACTGGAGCACTTTAGACAGGGGTCACTGCTTCCTCTGTTTCTGATTTCCAGAGGGAACAAAATGCTGCTGCAGGTCTTAAGTGGCACAAGAAAACATCTCCCTGCAGTGACTGCCTTAGAAGTCATTTTAGAATAATTTTATTGGCTTTAGAGACCGGCTCCACTCTACCTTCATGAGCCCCCACGCAGCCTCCCGTGGTCTCAGGTCAGCTGAAATTATTTCTGACACCATGTGAGATGTAGACTTTTTAGTTTATCTGAATTAATTTTATGTTCTGAGTTTTCTATTCTAATCATTTAACAAWTTTTATGTTTTTTGCTGTTGTATCTTGTTTATTGTTCTGTACAGTATGTTGGTCCTGTGGGTGATATTAGATGGACTTGAATCAACGAGACTAGAATGATCCCTGACATTTAGACCTTCCAGAATTTTATCTGCYGTCTTCCTTCGACAGATAACTCTAACAACTGGTATTTTTTAATATGTGAATGTATTTGTACGGCACTCTGACATGTGTGAGTTATATAAATAAAATTAATTCAATTGGTGAGGAATGAAATGTTTTTGTTTGAGAGATTTTCGATAACTGAAAATATCAACAGCAGTACTATTGCATCCTGTTTTCCTGATGGTGTAAGTGTACTTGTGTTTACGTTTTACATATCTACCTTGTCAATACCAGTAGTCCATATGGGGACCAACGATTGGTACCAATGGAACTCCATTTTTGGGTTAGGTTTAGGACTAAGGTGTGAATTGAATTTAGGTCAGGTTTAGGCTATAGAAATAACTGGAAATCAATGAACGGTACTAACAAGAACATAAATACAAACTCGTGTGTGTGTGTGTGTGTTACTGACCCAGTGTGGCGTAGTAGAAGGGAAAGTCTCCCAGGTATCCAGAGTACTGTGGTAAAGCAAACAGACCCCCGGGGTGACTGTTCCACATCAAGCTGCTCCTGGAGCCGTGCTCCAAGACCCGGTCCTGGATGATCTGCACACAGAAAACAATAAGAAAATTAAAAACAGTTGGTTGGTTACATTCTTTTTTATGGTTCTTTGATACGTAACAGGTTAGAGAGAAGAATGATGGGAAGTTTGGTCAAAACTGTTGACATTATGGCACATAAAGAACAATAAGTTGACTTTAGGCTCTACTGTGTGAATTATAACGAACTAAAGACCAAAATTCAGAACAAAATTGGTCCTATTCTTACATGAAATTACATTTAGGTAAAAAMAACCCTTATCAGTCCAGTTATTTACCTCCAGTCATTTTGACCTGATAATCTCATTATTATTTATAGCTGCTGCTTTATTTCTAAATAGTTTATTTTACCTGAAGATTTGGGAAAACGATTTGAGACAACAACCTACTTCTTCAGGTGAAAACTGGAGCAGGAAGAATCCCCCAAACAAAGCYAATATAAAAAGTGTTGACTTTTAATTTATCTTAATTGGTTATCGTGTTTTTTCGTTTAATTATATGGCTGTTTCAATTTTCTTTTAGGCTTTTATTATGTATTGTGACAGCAGCTGTGTTTTATTGAGTGTAACTCTTTGGTCCTATGGTTGCTTAAAGTGCTTTATACACAAATCAAATGGTTACAAATGTTTTTTTAGTATCCGGTAACTTAAGAACTTTAATAAAACAGATCAAGACTATAAATTACTTATTTAAAGCATAGCATTAAACAGGAAATGATGGATTTGAAGTCAGCTTTGGTGAAAAATAGGTTTTTCTGAAATTACCTTTTTATTTCAAAGGATTCCTCATTGGGTAAAACAAATAAAAGAAGTGAGTAAAAACCAACAYAAAACTGTTTTTAAAATATTTTACTGCCATCACAAAGAAGTCATAAAAATCAGAACTTTATGTGAGGATAAAAGAACGATCGTTATCCTCTCRGATTACAGAGGATGAAATAATAAGGATTGGATCAATGAGCCTTGTAATCGCACCAATAAAATATTTCACACAGAGAAATGAGTTTTCACAAAAACGGGAAGAAGCAGAAAGTCATAAATGTAAATGAATTTCRAGACAACTAAAGCTCTAATAACCTGCTTTCAATTCAGGACGTAAGCAGACGGTTGTTTGAGACTCATCCACCGGTTCGGAGCAGGGATCGGACGACAGCGGGGAACCAACGGAGCTACTTCAATATTTTATTTTAAAACGAAACAAATATTGATCGAGTCAAAGACTGAAAAGTGTGGCACAAAGTGAAAGCTGAAAGAGATGTTATTGTGTGAGATTTTCTCCAAAGACAAACTAAAGAGAGGTCAGATCAGAACAGAAAGCCAGATACGTCCGAATCAGTCAGTCGTGTAGACGGACGCCTCGTAGGGTGTGTGTGTGTGTGTGTGTGTGTGTGTGTGTGTGTGTGTACACATGTTTTTGTTACCTGGCAGTACACACAGCCTTGTGAGGACACTGTTCCTTACAGAGGCAAAAGCCCAGTTCCCATTGGGAGAAACACCATTGGTGGGGCAGTGGTTGGGGTTAGGACTAATGTGTTACTGGGGTGGTTGGGTTTAGGGTAACGGGTCAGGGTTGGGCTATAGAAATGACTGTACGGACTTCCATTCATTTCCAAAGTCCCCATGAGGATAGAAGAACAAATGTGTGTAATCAGCCAAGTACGGGTCTCTGCAGCACATAGTGGGAGTTTCTTGGTGTGGGGTAGTTTGTCGTAATCGTGTTTGGCAGAGTTGACATGTGGGGAAAGATAAAAGATGACGTAATGGTAAAGGTAAAATAACATAATATTTTATGTAATAAACAATTAAAAAAATTCAAACATAATAAACATAATGTGTTGCCTCAGTTGTAAAGTAACTAAGTACAAATACCTTGTTACTGTACTTAAGCAGAATTTTTGGGTATCTGTACTTGAGTAATTATTTTTCAGCCTACTTTTTACTTCTACTTCTTACATTTTCACACAATTATCTGTACTTTCTACTCCTTACATTTTTTAAAAAAGGCTATAAGTAGAAAGTCGTTACTTTTATTAATTTTTGCTTGTTTTTATACCAGCTTGTTATTGTAAAAAAAAAGTAAATATTATCCATATAAATTGTGCCTCCTAGATAGAGTGAATTTAACTGTGGTTGAATGAGAAGTATAAATATATAAAATTCTGATACCGTATATTAGTTTGTACACAAACAAATCATGTCACACTCCAGCAGGACATAATCATTAAAATAAAAGGACTGTACTTAAGAAGTATTTGTATTTCATGAATTATATTAATGTATTTGGCTGCAGCCCTCAGATAGATTTTCATTTTGGGGAAAAGTTTTGTGCAGCCTTGATATATGTATATAAACTGAAACAGCTGGACTAGTGCATCCTAAATTTAACAAATTAAATTTTTTAATACGATATAGTCATTTCTGTATTGTTTTGTTGAGGTCACCTCCTGATAAATATCCTTACAGAAAATCTAACTGCTCATTTTAAATCAACACTTTTACTTTTAATACTTAAGTACAAAAATATCAGATACTTTAAGACTTTTACTCAAGTAATATTCCTAAAGGAGACTAACTTTTACCAAATTAAATTTTTGGTAAGAAACTACTCAAGTATCACTTTGTGGTACTTTATACAACACTGTTGACTTGAAAATAGGTGGTTCCTGAACGTTTTAAGCTGCACTTCTCCCCGAAACCCAAAACACTCAATCCAATGTTTAACAAGCTCCTCCCACACACCAAGAAACTCCCACTTGACTGCAGAGACCTCCTCCTCCTCTCATCAGCCTGTCAGAACCGTCCTGATCCTCTGAGTCCAAACAGAGCCGTCAGTCAAACGGTGACAATGGCCACCATTCTCCCCAGCTGCAGCTGCTGAACGCAGGGAGAGATACAGCCGCTGTGCCTTTGAGCCATGCTAAATTGCTTCAGTAAAACAGACACAGGTTTGCAGCCGTGTTTTATGGCGGCTGTTGAGTCAGAAGTTGCCGGCTGTTGGCTYGCTGACTTAAAGGGGAGGATATACAGCGCAGAAAGTCCGCTTGTTCAAACTGTTAAAAGCTCATAATACAGCCGGAGGCGGGCTGGGCTGTGATGATATCGATGACAAAATTCATCACGGAGGGGAAGTAATGTGAGGGGAGGGGGGGGAAACAACAGCGTAAGTTTCTTTTACTTTTCCGAGCCCTGCCCCCGAGGCCAGTCGATAAGCGTCCAACTCAGAAAAACAGATTAACTCAGAACCCGTTGACTTGTCTATAAAAACAATGGCTGCCACCTTCAAACCCCGCAGCCCTTTACACCTTATGACGGGCAATTTCGCTCGCTTGGCTGCAGCTCCCTCCCCGTCGGCGGCCCTCAGTCGGACATGATGGACGACTCAATCTCCCCTCAGAACAGCCACAATCAACCAATTAGAGCATGATAGATAAATCCTGCCTCTGTGGGCGCACGCTGCGAACTCGACTTTAATTGGTCCGTTTAATAGGTGCAGCAGCAGCGTGAATCCTGTGGTACTGACCTTGTGATTGGCTGAAATGTTGCCTTTTCCTGACTCACCGTGTGATCGTTCCTTTCAGCTCGCCACTGCCAAACACTCCTGTGGTTCTTTTTTTTTTTTACTTCTGTAAAGACTCACTAAATGACTTAAACTATTCTTATTAACTTCTGAAAATTATAGTTCCCCACAAATATGTCTGACTCCTACGCTTTAAAAATGTTATCAGCTTCCAATTTCTTATTTTCAAGAAAACTGATCCAAAACCTCAAACTGTTCAAGGATCATAGAAAGAAAAATATGTTTTTTATTTGTTCTCCRAATAATAAAATAAAATAAATGACAAATATTGAACACAATAAAATATGTTTTTTTATTATGCTGTATTTTTACAGGACAGTTAGCCTGAATAAATCATTTCTGTTGACGATAAACAGACACGGAGTCTGAGGCTTTCCCAGTGTCACCTTGCAGGTCTGAGCAGAGTGACAGCATGTCAGGAGGGTTATGCCTGGGTGATGTGTGTGTGTTGATATATGGAGATGTGCTCAGAGTGTGTGTGTGTGTGTGTGTGTGTGTGTGTGTGTGTGTGTGAGCTAGCTCGCGGTGAGAAAGATAACAGATAAGAAACGTAGCACAGATGTAGAGATCAGATCGACTTCGAAGCTTGGCAGATCATTTGTGATGTGTGGAAATGGGAAATTTAGAGGAAAGCTTTGGGAGTCTTTACTTTAAACAGACTGTAGCACAAAGAGGAAAAATTAGTAATAAAATTAGCGAAAACTAAGACTAAAGTATAAATTAGTGGAAGCCAACCAATTAGGGGTCTCTGCAGAGGAGTTGGCATTTCCAAAGGAAGGTGGTTCTTAAGAGACACACCTGATTGGATGACCACGAAGGGGGCGTTACTAAAGAACACTACCTGATTGGATGATCGTTGTTTCGGCGTTTCTTTATATTATTAGCTTATTTTCTACCCTAGCATCGGACTTTCATATTTATTTTCAAAACATTTAGTTTTACAAACTTGCTGTTGTGACCATGGTAATTAGAAGACTTGGAAATAATAACAGCCGGCAGGTTAGCTGCTAGTATTATATGTTTGCAATATTGCAATATCAATGACTACTTATTTATAGTAATTCAATGTACTT